GCGCCCATCACAGATTGTCTCAGTAGCAAAAAGAAGTTCGTCTGGACAGAAGGTGCCCAGCAATCCTTTGAAAGACTGAAGAAGGCGTTCGCTTCGGAAGAGCAGCTCCTGCACGTTGATCTGGAGAAACCCATGAGGCTAGAGTCCGACGCGTCCGACAGAGCCATTGGGGCGGTTCTTTTGCAGCCAGGGAGGAGCAAGCAGGAATGGAAGCCGTGTGCCTTTTTCTTGAGAAAGCTGAGCAAGTCGGAGCAAAACTATACTGTGTATGACCGCGAACTGCTTGCGATCTATGCGGCGTTTCGTCGATGGCAACATCTGCTAATAGGGGCACAGCACAAGATCCAGGTTTGTACAGATCACAAGAACTTGGAATACTGGAGGACCGCACGAGTACTCAACCAGAGACAGATTCGATGGGCACAGGAGTTCTCCAAGTTTTCCTTCGAAATCCGATACGTGCCAGGAGAGGAAAACGTAAGAGCACATGCTCTCTCCCGGAAGCCGGAGTACATGGAAGGAGAGGGACCGCCGGAGATACGACACGTGATCCCCAAGAACCAATGGGTGTGGGGGGGAGCTTTGGTTGGGAAACGAGAACTGGCCGGGCTTACTAGAAACGACGTGTTCGCACAAACTAAAATCCGGGAACTCCGAGATGGAAGAGAAAACCAAGGGGGGTTTGAGGAAAAGGAAGGGGTGCTGTACTATAAGGGGGTGCTGTATGTACCGGGGGAGACCCTGAGGGGGAAGGTACTCAAACAACTCCACAACCCCACAGCTGGGCACTTTGGACAGCACAAAACCATGCTGCTTGTCACCAGGCAGTTCTGGTGGCCAAGGGTGAGGGAGGATGTACGGGAATATGTACGGGGGTGTGACCGCTGCCAAAGGGCAAAGGGGGAGAGGGCTGCCCCCGCAGGATTACTGGAACCCTTACCCACGCCGGGAAGACCCTGGGAGGTGGTGTCCATTGATTTTATGACTGATTTGCCCAAGTCCCTGGGGAAGACAGCAGTCATGGTAGTAGTCGATCTACTGACGAAGATGTGCCATTTCACAGCTTGCTCACATGCGGTGAGCGCTGAGGAGACAGCCAAGTTGTTTGTGGATGACATCTTCAGGTTGCATGGGGCTCCCTCGAGGGTAATTTCGGATCGCGGGAAACAATTTACTTCCTGGTTCTGGAGGAAGCTCATGAGCTTGCTGCAGGTAGAGGTGAGCTTCTCGACGGCGAGACATCCGGAAACCAACGGGCAAGCAGAAAAAGCGAACAGTATATTCCAGCAATACCTACGCTGCTACGTCAGCGAGAGGCAGAACGACTGGGTAGAGAAACTAGCGCTGGCTGAATTTGCGTACAATAACGCTGAACATGTGTCCACGGGGATGAGCCCGTTCATGGCCAATTATGGGTGTCACCCCAGGGCCTTCCCGGGGAGTGGGGAGGAAGGGTGGAGCGTACCTGCGGCAGAGCAGTTTGTGGAAGAAATGGAGGCCCTGCACCAGCAACTTAAGATGAACTTAGAACAGGCCAAGGAAATTTACAAGAGGCAGGCAGACAAGCACCGTAGAGAAGGGAGACCATACGGGTGGGGACCGGGTGTGGTTGTCAACCCAAGGGTTACCCTTTAAGGGGGGGTGCAAGAAGTTGCAGCCAAGGCGGCTGGGGCCGTTTGAGGTAACACAGCAGGTGAACCCCGTGGCGTTCAAGCTCAAGTTGCCTGACAGCATGAAGATACACCCGGTGTTCCATAGGTCCCTACTCTCACCGTACAGGGAGGGGCGGGAATTCCTGGGGCGAGAGGGCGAAGTCACCACACACCCGCAGATAGAGGAGAGGGAACACCACAACCGGGCCATGGAAATACTCGATTCAAGGTGGCGAGGGCGCCAGGTGGAGTACTTGGTAGCTTGGGAGGGAGAACCCGGGTCGGAAAACACGTGGGTTCCCGCGGAGGCCATCAATGACGGGTATCTTGTGGAGGAATTCCACAGCCTGTTCCCAGACAAACCCAAACCACTAGCGAGATTCTGGGAGGAGCAATTTGGAACCACAGACGATGAAGAGGATTTTGTGGGTTTTTCTGCCTCCGAAGAGGAGGGAGGAGAGGCTTCGGAGGAAGAAGAATCAGACTGGGAAGACCACCCAGAGATCGGAGCGGGTGGGAAGCGGGTTTTGAATCCACAGAGGATGGCAACAGCTCCTTCCGGGGATTCCCCGCATCATTGGCCGAGGAAAGGGACGAAGTTGGATCGAAAGGTCGGGCCGGGGGTGGAGGGGGTCCTGGGGGGGAGGTGGATGTCAGGGAACTGACATTGGAGCCAGAGGCGGAGGCAAGGCTCTCAAGCGATGCTGGAGAAGGGCCCAGCAGGGAGAGAGGCAGCTCATCAGCTGGGGAAGGAAATCAGCGTAACACCAGGGATAAAGGGGGGCAGATGGGGGAATCGGTGAGGGGGCTCCAGGACTCCTCGCCGGAGACCAGCGGGGAGCGCACGGGTCCTCCACTACCCACACCCTCCCTGCGCAGAAGACTTCTGCGCAGGGAGAGTAGGAGGAGACTTGGGGTCAAACAGCTTTTATGCTGGAAAAGGTTTAAGAAACACCCACTGACGGATTCTGCTAGCGACTGAGGCAGCCACGAAGTGAAGGGCTGTCCAGACAGAAAAGGTTTAACAAGGCAACATAGCCAGGAGTGGCGGCAACTTACGCACGAGCAACCCCTATATTTATTACACTTCAGGAGCACTGTCTCCCTCCCTCACATTAGTCAGTTTAAAGCCCTCCTGATGAGGTTTCTGAGATTTTTGGCAAAAACATTCCTCCCAACCGTTGTGAGGTGCAGTCCATCGCTTGCCAGAAGTCCATCTTCAAGAAACTGCAGTCCGTGATCTAAGAATCCAAACCGTTCCTGTTTACACCATTTGCGAAGCCAGCTGTTCAGTTCCACTATTTTTCCCTCTCTCCCTGGGCCACGTCGTTCAACTGGGAGGACAGATGAGATGACAATTTGTGCATTTAATTGCTTCAATTTCCTGCCCAGAGTCTCGTAGTCTCTTTTGATCTTCTGGAGGCTATTGCTTGCAGTGTCATTGGTTCCCACATGAACTAAGAGGAAGGGGTATTTGTCTTCTTTGCTGGGAACAGAATGGGACTTCTTTGCTGGGAACAGAATGGACAGGTAGAATAGAACCAGATATCAAGGTACTATGAAGCAAATAAACATTTGTGGATTAGGCAGCAATTCCTACATAAACAGAGAGGATCTCTGCATTTATTTCCAGGAACTGCCAACATCACAAAAGTGGAAATGACTATTATGGAGAAAGAAAAAGAAACAGGGGAAATGATTGCTCACAGAACAATGACAGTGTTATATCCTGGGATAATCATAAAGGGTATCTGGCTCCTTATAAATCTCCCATTGCTTCAGAGACCAAAGAAGAGGACTTTAACTTAGATGGACATCTAGGATATTGTGACTCCTGGGAATTGAACCGTGTTGCAATATACCCGAATGTCATCAAAAGTGGCAGAATACTATCTTAAGAACAAGGAATTGAGAAGGGGGAGGCCTCCCTTTTTGGCATTTACAGTTAAGAATGTCTTTGGTTATGCAAAGACATTAAAAAAAATTTAGACCGAAAGACTAATTTCAAGTAATTAGCAACAATTAATTTAGAGACAAAGTTGATGTAAAAATGCACAAATTTCCAGAAACAAGGTTAGACTACATAAGTGAAGAAAAGGATTTGCACAGCGCAAAGGGTGGGTTTACTTTAAGTATCCTTCTAGGCATTTGTGTAGTTGCTTTTAGGCTTATAAATTCAAAATTGAACTTCATATATATTATGGACATGTATAGCATAAAGGGTCACAGTGCCATCTATGTCACTGCTGATGTACAACATTGGTTGTGTTCTGCATGTTGATCTTACCTGTCTTTTCACCCTACTTGGCTCCTCCTTTAGGTGTTCCTATTTTGCAGGTATTTATCTCTCACAAAGATGTTCCTTCAGCCAACCTGTCCTCTTATTCTTCCTCTGCTTCTTTGGCCTCCTGTCCCTCTCTACATTCTTGTACTTGTCTGAAAAAATACCATATCAGCAGTGGAGGATCAGCTTCAAGAATGCACCCAGTTTCCCAGGGATGGGACCTCCTTCTTGCCTAACGGCCACCACCACTTCTTCTCGGTCATACTATAACACAACCACCACTTCTTCCAGGTCATCTTCTAAGACAATGGATAGTGGTATATGGACAGTGAAATCTGATGGCCGTTTGGGAAACCAGATGGGGGAATATGCCACCCTCTATGCCTTAGCCAAGATGAATGGACATCAAGCCTACATCTCCCCCGCCATGCACCAGTACCTCTCACCAATATTCCAGATCACTTTGCCTGTGATCAATGCTGAAGTGGCTAAAAAGATCCGCTGGAGGAACTTTCGTCTGCATGACTGGAGAATTATAAACACATCAAAGACAAGTATATCCGCCAAGAGATACTTCAGCAGTTCTCCTTCCATGACCACATCAAGGAAGAAGCCAATCAATATCTTCAGGAGCTAAGGGGGCAGCGCCAGGAGGTGACGTATGTTGGAGTGCATGTCCGCAGAGGAGATTATGTCTATGTGATGCCCAAGATCTGGAAAGGTGTGGTGGCTGACAGAGGCTATTTGGAGAAAGCCATGAACTATTTCAGAGAGAAGTACCCCAATCCCATCTTTGTGGTGACCAGCAATGGGATGGAGTGGTGCAAGGAAAACATCAATGCCTCCAGGGGGGATGTTTATTTTTCTGGGGATGGGCGCGAGTCCTCTCCAGGGAGAGATTTTGCTCTCCTTGCTCATTGCAACCACACAATAATGACGATTGGCACTTTTGGCTTCTGGGCCGGCTACCTGGCTGGTGGGGAGACCATCTACTTGGCCAACTACACCCTCCCAGACTCTCCCTTCCTTAAGGTCTTCAAGCCCTGGGCAGCCTTTTTGCCTGAATGGATTGGGATTCCAGCGGACCTTTCCCCTTTGCTGTCCAAGAAACCATGTCTTGTTGAATCATGTCTAATGTTAATAATAATAATAATAATTTATTATTTATACCGTGCCCATCTGGCTAAGTTTCCCCAGCCACTCTGGGCGGCTGTTGGAAGGACTTGTCTGGGCACTGATTCCACAAAGCATGTATGTGAGAGTGGTCACCAGCACTCCTGACAGGGGGCTCAAAGACCTAGCTTGTTCAAACACATTGATTCCTGTTTTAGACCTCACTTTGCAGTAAGGTGCAGAGGTTGGGACATAACCATATTCTGAGCCCTTCCACCACCAAGCACTTAGTAGCAACATGTACATAGCCATTATTTTTCCCCTCCCTGGTTTCACTGTAGAACTTTTTCTTGCCCCCCTATTCCAGATGTAGATCTTCACTCACCCCTTCTTCTTCTTTTGAGGAAGTGATTTGTGGGCTTGTTGAGCTTCAACTAATGCACACATGTCCTTACAAGTTGTATCATGTTTTGCACACCCTGTTCCCTACAGGTGAGCAGGATGACTCTCCTGGTATGCATATCACATAAAATGAAGTGACACCGCTGACCTGTGTTTCAGAGGATTATCTTGTTTTCTACTCGCATTCTAATTTTTCGCTTGTTTCAACAAGTCTAGTAATTGAATCATTTGAATTTAGTTAATTAGTTAAAAGTAGAAGAGCAAATGGACTGGTGCAGTAGTTCTTCTTTCTGAGTAACACCATGCATTTGCTCCTGTATCCTGTTGCCGCTGCGTAGCAGCCTTATCAGCCCCTCACTTACATCTTGCCAAACAGGTGGGTCATGATCTTCCCTTTGAAGAGGAGATGGATGCTCCCTTTCATAAGGTCCCTGTCTATGGCTTTTGGAGATATTACTAAATATATTCCATGCATTGTGAAGCTTCAGTCTCCAAAAACCACGAGCTTAAGACTTGAGCTATTTTTCAAAACAAAATGGGTGTTTCCCAGAATTTAGAATTCTTCAGCCGTCACCACATTGCAAGCTTGCATGGAATTACAGAAGACACAAAGCGCTGCATTAAGGCCATGGACACCTTAAGGGACGATTCTAAGTGATTAGAGAAATCCTGCATTCAGTTAGTAAGATATACTGCTCTAGCGGGTGGACTTTTATTATTATTGTTGCTTCAAGTGCAGGGGGAAAACAAGTGGCCAGAAAGCCTCAGGCAGCTCTTACATCTGATGCATGTATTTGGTGTGAAAATTGGCCAAGAAACCTGCCCAAGTCTAGAAGCCAGAAGCTTGAGCAGATAGTTGCTGATTCAGGTCAAATTAGATACTGCTGAAAGGACTTGTCTGGGCACTGATTCCACATCAGCATACAATTTGATCCCACAAAGGAGCATATTTTTAATGATGTGACTATTTAGCCTGGACTATGTTAGCATACATTTTCTGATGTCTTCTCAAATGGAAATTGGATCCTTAGGAGCACTGTTTGGGTGAATGAGATTGAGTGTCATTTTAAATTTTAGAAGTACAGAACCAGGGAGTATCTGGTTCCTGCCTCACCTTAAACCTCCAAGGCCTACTTCTCCAGAAAATCTGTTTTCTCCAAGAGCACCTTGATCTAAATATTATGTGATGACTGAATATTATGAAACTTGTGCAGACAAGCTAGGTGAACCACTAACAAAGCACCTAAATGAATGGGCAGTTGGGAAAGAAATTTTAATACTCAAAAAAGCAAAAGAAAAATACAGAAGCTAGCTCATTGTTGACTGCATATTATAAAATATTAACATCTATTCTTACCAAATAAAGTCATTTTAACCACATAGAATAATACCAAGCAGGTTTCATAAAAGGTAGAGTACTAAATATGAACATGAGACAAACAATCAGTGTTATCAAGAATATTAAGAACAGAGGACTCCGGGAACATGACTTCCAGAAATCAAAGGGACAATCAGGTGAGGGAAAGCCCTTGTTTAGAAGTCTGGTGTGTAAACAGCAGGCAAAAGAAAAGGCATTTAATACACACGGATAAAATGTTTCGCCATGCCACGTGGCTTGCTGGCATGACGCATGCACACCACACAGCGTGCATGACATTGAGCAGCTGAGTGGCATGCATGCACAGTTGCTGTGGAATTCTGAGGGGGCCCAGCACCCTACTTGAAGCTTTTGGGGGGCCCACAACTCCCTCTCCCCCAGATGGTGCCCCTGACTCACAGCATTATTGTCCCTACCAAGCTGTGATTGTTCCAATTTTCATTTAGATTTGATGTTAATTCTGCAGTGGTTGATACCATTTGTGACAGAACCAAAGTCATGGGCAGATTCCTGGAATCTGATGTACAGCTATCTGTCACTCTCCTTTCATGTGTTCCATGCAACTTGGTTTCTGAAAAGCATCATGACTACTGCTGGACAGGATGAAGGCCAGGATGACATGATGGAAAAACATAGACACCAGCAGGAGCAGGACCGGATTTAGGTTTGATGAGGCCCTAAGCTACTGAAGGTAATGGGGCCCTATATATGTCCAGCTGTCCTTTGTCAACAATGAATTGTCGCTGTTTTTTGTTGAATATATGCTATATGGTAATTTATGGGCCTAATAGGTATCTAAAGCCATTTGCACATCACAAATTACGTATTTTATCAAAGTAATTGTTGAACTGAAATACAATTAAGAAGAAGTATATTAATAGTGAAATAATTACTAAGCTCTAACTTAAAATATTTTTTTATTCATGGGGAGGGGGGAGAGTGGGGCCCTAAGCTATAGCTTGTTTAGCTTATATGTAAATCCAGCACTGAGCAGGAGTCAAATGGGCCAATTAGGAGAATCTACAACCAGGGTGCCTTTGACTATTTGCATATTCTTCCAGTTGTAGATCTGAAGGGTTAGGCAGGGAGCCGTCCCATGAGGACATTTCTCTCCACACAAAGATTCCTAGTTTCTCACATGGAATAAAATTGAGAAGAGGTGAGCAAAAACAGAAAGCCTTGGCATTATTTGCAAACAGAGGTGGTTCTTCTGATTTTGCATGGAGCGTTCTTGCATGCATCAGGATAGGGTCTTGGCCATTGAAATGGCTCAGTCAGGACTACAGTGGACGCTCGGGTTGCAAACGTGATTCATGCGGGATGCACGTTCGCAACCCGCAGCTGTGCATGTGCCTGTTGCGATTCGGCGCTTCTGCTCATGCACAACCGCCAAAACCCGGAAGTAACCCGTTCCGGTACTTCTGGGTTTCGGCGGTCCGTAACCCAAAAAAGTGCAACCTGAAGCGTCTGTAACCCGAGGTATGACTGTACTTAAAGCTGCCCTCTCCTCCAGCTGTACACAGCCTCAGCCATGATCAGCACCAAAACAAGCAAGACCAAGGCAGACACTCCCAGGCGGATGTTGCCCTCGACAGATGCGTCCCCTGTAAAAGCAGGAGAAGGAAGACACTGTCACTTATTCATTGCAAATAAAAAACCGAGGCGCCTGCAAACTGCTCACTTTTCACTCTTGCATTATTTTGTTTTCCTCTATATGCCCACAAACTAGTGCAGGAAGTCACAGTTGTTTTTTCGTGATTGACCATGAAAAGTTAAAGTGTGGCTTAAATTGCGACCTTACAAAAATTGGCTTTTACAATATCGCTGCTGAAACAGACATATGGTAAAACGGAATGGGTGTGAGTGCCTGAAGAATTTTAAGGTGGCGGCTTATATGCGGGTATTGTTTTTTCTCTCCCCTCCCCCACTTAAATTTTAAAGGTGCTGCTTATATTCAGGTGCGGCTTATATTCGGGCCAATACAGTAAATCCAGTAGGACCTATGTGGTCTTGCCACTTAGCAGAGAATTGCAGGTGCAGTTGGGGATAACTATTATTGCAGAATTTGAGTTAACCTGGTGCACAGCCTTGCTTTCCTAACTAGTCGTGTCCCAAGGAAACACAGCCCTGTGCACAGCCTGATCGCAGTAGGACATGCTTGGCTCTGTTTTCCCTAATCTGTTAACTGCTTCCATGGCTCCTCTTGTTTGGGGGACATAGCTTAGGGGTAGAGCATCTGCTTTGCATGCAGAAGCTCACAGGTTAAATCCCTGGCATCTGCAGGTAAAATGGGGAGAGAACCTCTCCCGAAATCTTGGACAGCCAGTCAGTGTAGACGCTACTGAGATAGGTGGACCAATGGTCTCAACCTGTCTAAGGCACTTTCCTGTGCTCCTACCCAGCAACTTAACATGGAGCAGGAGGAAGGCAGAATGGTGTCCCCAGGGCCCTTCTTGGGAATCATGAACACAGTACAGCCCCCCCCCCCAACATTAATATTTATTATTTTCCATACATAAACATAACAGAAAAAAGCCAACAATAATAAAGGAGAAAGAATGAAACGGAAAAAAGAAAAAAGATCATAAAACCTAAAATACATCAAATCACCACATAAACTAAAACATAATTGATCAAAATCCATCTTCCTAAACATATTACTTGACTTCCTCAAATCTCTTCCATCTTTCTTAATAATTATATATAGCAGTTTCCAATATCATTTCATAAAATCATATCACAGTCATAATCATATTTCCTAACTTTCCTTATCGTACATTTTCTTATTTATTTATTTAATCACAAGTTAATCCTTGGCCTAATTGATTCTTTCAAGTGATTACATATCTTTAATATTACAATATTTATTCAAATAGTCTTTAAATTTCTTCCAGTCTTCTTGGTATTCCTCTTCTTTCTTGTCGTGGATTCTCCCGGTGAGATCTGGCTGATCACACAGTACGTTTTTTGTTGTGGTTCTGGACAGTTTAGAGTTAACACTCCCAGAGGCGTTCTTATTCACTGGGTGCCTGCCCATATTATCCAGGCATTTTTCTTTTTGTTCAGCAGAGTTACTGAGAGTCTCTGAGAGTTGGTTTTGTTTTTGTGAGAGACAGAACGCTGCAAGCCTGCAGCTTGATTCTGTCGGTTTATTTCCTGTTTGTTTATGCTTCTGAATAAACACCTTTGGTAGAATAGAAGCACTGGTGTCAAGTTGAGTTATTGAAGACACCACTTTGACACAGACTAAGCCATTTATGCTGCGTACGAACTCTGCAACGACAACAGCGAAGAGGGGCAGCGTGCAGAAGAAGCGTGTGGGTGGCCATAAACATCGGACCAGCTCGTAAATCAGGCTAACTGCAGTGCCGGGTGGCAGACTTCGTGGGTCAAAGGATTTACGACCTACAAACTTTCACAGTTTTCCTGCTGAGGAACGGATTGGGCCGATGGTATTCGTATGTATTTATGTATTTAATGAATTTCCATGCCACCTTTCACCCAAAGGATCAGAGGGTGGCTTATAGTATAAACACACAAAAATACACAGCAGAATAAAAAACAAAACAATAACCCCCAGTGTGTCCCCAGACTTTAAAGATGCTCTTTTAAGATGCCAGTAATAAAATAAGAATATGATCTTCAGGGATCTCAGAGGTCTAAGCCCTCTACTGGGTTCATCAAGTACAACTTGTCTTGCAAACTTACCTGAGCACTCCACACTGGCATCTTGGCTGTGATTGCAGCTGTGCTCTCCCCAGGGACTTTGGGGACACTCACTCAGGAAAGCTTCTTCTCCTGTACAGTTGAGACCCTCCAGCCAGATGGGACCAGATCCTTGTCCAAACCATGCTCCACCAAATGCTTTGGAGGCATTTCCACAGCCCAGTTCCCTGCACACAATGTGAGCATCATGCAAATCCCAACCAGCGTCACACACAGTCCCCCACTGGCGGTTGTGCAACACCTCAATCCTCCCAGAGCAGCGACTTGGGCCATTCACTAGGCGGAGCTCTGATGGGACAAACAAAAACAAAACAAAATGAATAAACACTAAATGTGAAAGCTCTGATGAGACAAAAAGAGTTGAACATAGCAACAAATATGTGGCATTGAATCTTGTGTGTTAGAGAAGGGTTAAGAATTGGGAGTCCTGGGCTTGCTATTGTCACCAACCAACGCTCTTCCTATGCAGTGAGGGCTCAAACCTAAGGCATCCTGGGAGCCCCACTCCGCACCTCGGAAGCCTCAGGTTCTGATTCCGCAAGTTTCATTCATTCATTTATACTTTATTCAATGTAATTTGAAAGCCCTTGATCAGAAAAAGAATATACGTTGAAATTATCAATAAAAGTCACCATTAAACAGAGATTAAATAAAATATGTAATGTTATCATGGATATTAAAACACGTCACCATTACATCTTTAAATAGGCTTGTTTAAACAGATTTTCTTAAACAAAATAATTTTTTATTTGATTTTGCAAATATAAATTTATAACAAAACCAAATACATATCCATATAAAGAGATTTCTCTGAATCTCGAGACTTCCTCCCATCTCCTCCATGGATCCTATTATAAACATTTTCTACTGCATATCATTTCATAATCTATATTTTAAATCATCCATATTATCCATAGTATTTGTTACAGCACAAGTAAGATTAAAATCCTGCTAATGTTTTCATCTGCTTACAGTGGTCTTCTAAATAAATTATAAATTTCCCCCGTTCTTTTTTAAATGCTTTGTCCTCTTGGTTCCTGAGCTTTCCAGTCAGTTTTGTCATTTCGGCATAGTCCATCGGTTTAATTTGCCATTCCTCTCTTCTTTCCACCAACAGAAAATGTTTAATGAAGTGCCAGTTCCTGGGTTCAACCCAACTGCTCTGCTATGTTTGCTTATCAGTAGATGGGGAGTAGAAAGAGAGAGAGAAATGTTGAATTTAAAGGCACCAGATACCAGGATTCTGGGCACTGTAGTTTGGTAAGGGCTGGTGATAAGTGTAACTCTGTGAAGGGTAAACTACAGTGCCCAGAATTCCTTGCAGGCAAGAATATGCACTGGATTCACTTTAAAGGTATAGGAGCATGCAGCTCCAGACATGATGCCATGGCTATGAAGGACATCAAACGTCATTTGGATTTAGAACTCCTCTAGGGAATGTTACTCACACCTAGTGCTTATCTAGAAAGCTAGAACGGCATTGGGACACTTATTTTGTTTCTAGAGAAAGCAAAAATGACACAGAATGAAAATTATATTGTGAACTGCCCTTCTTCCTCCTCCTTCCAGCACAACTATCAGCATCAGAACTCTTCAGCAACCTTCTATTGGCAAAATAGACTTACTAGTTGAACTTGCAGCCAGTTTCCAAGGCCACAGTATAGCTATTACCTGAGCACACAACACTGGCAACTTCTCCATGGCTGCAATCATGTGTTCTCCACTGTAAGTCACAGTCCTTGAAGGCAGCTTCTGTCCCCTGACAACTGACACCAGACAACCAGGTGGGACCATTTCCTGTTCCAAAGTGAGCTCCTCCTGCAGCCACCAAGGCTTCACCACATCCAAGCTCTCTACATACAACTTGGGCACTGGTCAGATTCCATCTGTCATCACACACAGCCAGCCACTGCCAGTTGTGGAGCACCTCAACTCTTCCAGAGCAGCTGTTTGTACCGTTCACCAATCTGATCTCTGTTGAGATGAGAAATAGCTTCGACTGAAACTGAACCTATTTAATGTGGTGCATATGAAGCGAAGGAAAGACTATGCAAAAGAGGAGGGGAAGAAAATGCAGACAGAGGGTCTTTCCTGCTTCCATTGATATGATTATCAGCAGCAGAGCTGAAGGAAATGTGTTGATGACAAAACGGACATGCTGATTCAACTTATATACAAGTTTCTAACCCAACTGTATAAAAGGTAAAGGGACCCCTGACCATTAGGTCCAGTTGTGGCCGACTCTGGGGTTACGGCACTCATCTTGCTTTCTTGGCCGAGGGAGCCGGCATACAGCTTCTGGGTCATGTGGCCAGCATGACTAAGCCACTTCTGGCGAACCAGAGCAGCGCACGGAAATGCCGTTTACCTTCCCGCCGGAGCGGTACCTATTTATCTACTTGCACTTTGACGTGCTTTCAAGCTGCTAGGTTGGCAGGAGCAGGGATGGAGCAACGGGAGCTCATCCCGTCACGGGGATTCGAACCGCTGACCTTCTGATTGGCAAGTCCTAGGCTCTGTGGTTTAACCCACAGCGCCACCCGCATCCCTCTAACCCAACTGTATAGCTCCTATTAATTAATTTATATATTAAATTTGCATACCACCCTTCATCTGTAGATCTCAGAGCAGTTCACAACATAACAATACAAGATAAAAACACGATAAGGATATTTCTTAATTGTAATTTTTACCTGAGCATACAACACCAGCATCTTCTTCATGCACACAGTTATGTTCTCCCCAAGGCTGTAGGTGGCAGTGGCGGAGGGTAGCTTCTGTCCCCTTGCATCTGACCTCATCCAGCAAGATGGGGCCATTGCCTCTCCCAAAGTGAGCTGCTTCTTTGATCGACAAGGCTTCCCCACATCCAAGTTGCCTGCACACGACTTGGGCGCTGCTCAGATTCCAACCATCATCACACACAGTCCCCCACTGTCTGGCGTTGAACACCTCAACTCTTCCAGAGCAAGGGCTTGTACCATTCACCAATCTGATATCTGTAGGGTTTAAAATGGTTAGAGTCCATTTTGTGCCTCCACCTCCCAATTCCTCATTTTTTGTAGCTTCCATGGGAAATGTTAAGGGTTCTAGGTTAGAGCATGGGTAGGGAATATCAGGCTCAGGGACCAAATGCAGCCCTCCAAACCTCTCCAGTCCTGCTTTGCACCCTCTTGGAGTTTCTCTTTTCCTGAACTGGCAAGTGGTGGTGGGATAGTGCTCATCTGAGCCCCTTTCTCGGACCCTCCAAAACACTTCTCCTCGTTCCATTCTGCCAACCTAGCAGAACCTCTCTCTTGCCTTTGCAGCATGGCTTACTGGTTGGAGGCTGCAGCTGCTCTCTTGCAAAGCAGAGAGCCTGTCCATCAAGAAGCAGCTGCAAACACAGCATGGAATTTGAGCAAGACTCTGTGGGTCTCAAGGTATGGAAAATACGAGAAGGTGAGATGCCATAGAACAGGGAGAAGAAAAGCTGTGATGAAGCAAGGGGGGCTAAATGGAGAGGGGAAATGGGATGGTGGGAGGAGAGGGAAAACAGAAGACGGAAAGTGGGTGGGAGTGCAGTGGTGGGTGCACAGTGGAGGAGGAGGCGCCTGACAAGCACAGGGTGCTATCTATGGAGTCCAGATCTGCCATCACCTTTGGTCAGCTGAAGACCATTACTTTAAAATTTGAAGGGGTCCTATATTTCAGAATGCAGGATTGAATATATTTCTCTTCTCCTTACTTCTTTTACACACACACACACACACACACACACACACACAACTTTAACTTGTTCTTCCCATTGCAGCTAGTGGTGGAAGCATCCCCAAAAGACCCCAGAGCCATTTCCCCCAAGAATACATCAGTGGAAAGATGCTCTATCTGGAAGTCATATCCCTTGGAAGGGCGTGTCCTCTCTACTTGCAGAGCAACATGCTGAAAAAAAACACCATCTCTGAGAGAACATGACTTTCAGATACACCTGCTTTCCACAGAAGTACAGTGGTACCTCGTGTTAAGAACTTAATTCGTTCTGGAGGTCTGTTCTTAACCTGAAACTGTTCTTAACCTGAAGCACCACTTTAGCTAATGGGGCCTCCTGCTGCCACTGCGCCGCCGCTGCACAATTTCTGTTCTCATCCTGAAGCAAAGTTCTTAACCCAAGGTACTTTTTCTGGGTTAACGGAGTCTGTAACCTGAAGCGTATGTAACCAGAAGAGTATGTAACCCAAGGTTCCACTGTATTATGAGGGAATATGGTCCTGGACCAGTGTGCCAATGCTACTAACCACAATGGCAAAGCATTTTCAAGAAAACAATGAGGAAAAATAAGCTTTTAATATCCTGAATTTCAAAATTGAAGTCTTCCTCAAAATGTTTAAATAGATTTCTGTTGGCCTAATTGGCAGAGCAAACCTGCCTACTTTCATGGCAAAAGAATGGGGCTATGGAGATACGACATGCATTCTGCTGCACACAATCATCACCACTGGAAATGTGCCATTATTCCTTTTTGCTGATGCAAAATCCGGTCAAATTAAGATAATGTTACTGAATATAAATGAGAATGTATAGTGGATGAGCACAAAAGAAGCTGATTCCTGAGATGCTGCTCAAATAATGATGTTTCTGGAATGTTAGACTTGCAAGTTATTCAAGCCTTGGCTATTGGACGAAATTAGTCAAGGGTCAGTTCAGTCACCACTTTTGAAACCAAAAAAGAAAAGGCAAGAATGTAGGGAAAGAGGAGAACTGGAGCCCAGAGGAAGAAGAATTGCTCTTACAGAGTTCACTTGCTGTATTGGCAAATACTAGTAAAGAAAGATTTGGCAGTTACAGCCAATTTAAAGTTGTGCCTGGTTCTACAACATAAAATCTAGAAAGTGGTGTACAAAAAAAGGACTAATATCCCTCCCTTCCAATGAAAAACAAGCAGTCCTGATGTTTATAGATGCTGAAAAAGCATTTGATAATGTTTCATGGGATTTTATGAAAAAAGTTCTTGAAGAGATGAACTTTGGGTGAGATTTAGGAAAGGGATTTAATCTATATATTCTGATCAAAAAGCCAAATTAATTGTGAACCAGGTGGTAACAGAGCAATGTAAAATACAGAAAGGAACAAATCAGGGATGTCCCCTATCACCTCTTTTATTTATTTTGGTTTTGGAAGTCCTGGCGAGAAATATCAGGGCAGATAATAAGACTAAAGGAATTATGGTAGGGAAAAAGGAATATAAGCTTAAAGCATATGCAGATGACCTTGTAATTATGGTGGAAGATCCTAAAAATTCCCTTTTGAGGGTATTAGAGAAAATACAGGAATTTGGGCAAGTGGCAGGATTTAAGCTGAATAAAAATAAAACAAAATTATTAGTAAAGAAATTAGCAAGAGAAGATAAAATAGAATTACAACAAAATGTAGAAATAGAGATCCATTTAAAAAATCACTTATTTGGGGGTCTGGTTAACAACCAAAAATATAAATATTTTAAAATACAATTATGAAAAAAATTGGAACAAAATAAAAAGGAACCTATAAATATGGGGAAGAAGGAATTTATCGTTATTAGGGAAGATAGTAGTAATTAAGATGAACGTATTGCCAGTTTCTCTCAACCTAGAATTACCTGAGCAGACAACACTAGCATCTTCTCCATGACTGCAATTATGTGTTTCCCAGTGTAGGTCACAGTTCTTAAATCCGTATTCCATCCCCCGACACTTGGCTCCAGCCAAGCAGGTGGCACCACATCCTCTTCCAAAGGGAGCTCCTCTTGGGACAAACAAGGCTTCCCCACAGACATGTTCCCTGCACACAGCCTGGGCGCTGTTTAGATCCCAGCCATCATCACACACCGTCAGCCATTGCTGGTTGTGGAGCACCTCCACTCTCCCAGAGCAGCGGTTTGTACCATTCACTAATCTGATCCCTGCAGAGATTGAAAAAGGCTTTTTAACTTTTCAGTTCTGGTTTTTGTTTTTCTCAACAATACAATCAATGAATAAAAACAATAAAAAGAAGAAGAACAATCAGCAATGCATCATAGCAATTTGTAGTGCCATAGTGTACTGTTGTGGGAAATATAGTCAGAACAAAAGTGAAGTGGAGAAAAGGGGATTGATTGGTGGAGGAGGGAGGGAACAAAAGAGTTTGGATAGGTTCCAGCAGAGCCCACTCAAAATAAATGTATTAATTTATTCATTTGCTATCTTGCTAAGTTAGGCTCCAGCGGCTCTTCATAGCTGCAGTCCTACTACTGATCGGCACAGGAGTTTTGACCTGAAGGTACAGACCTGCTGCAGCAGGATTAATTAAATACATCAAGGGGTACCTACTGGATGGTCTTGCTGGTTATCTATGGCTTTGCCTGTTTATTTAAGACAGGTAAAGATCCTACCTAATGAAGATCATGGCCACTGGTCCCATCACCTCCTGGCAAATAGAAGGGGAAGAAATTGAGGCAGTGAGAGATTTTACTTTCTTGGGCTCCATGATCACTGTAGATGGTGACAGCAGCCACGAAATTAAAAGACGCCTGCTTCTTGGGAGAAAAGCAATGACAAACCTAGACAGCATCTTATAAAGCTGAGACATCACCTTGCCAAGAGCTGGAAGTGAGAGCTGGACCATAAAGAAGGCTGATTGCCGAAGAATTGATGCTTTTGAATTATGGAGGAGACTCTTGAGAGTCCCATGGACTGCAAGAAGATCAAACCTCTCCATTCTGAAGGAAATCAGCCCTGAGTGCTCACTGGAAGGACAGATCGTGAAGCTGAGGCTCCAATACTTTGGCCACCTCATGAGAAGAGAAGACTCAGACCCTGATGTTGGGAAAGATGGAGGGCACAAGGAGAAGGGGACGACAGAGGACGAGATGGTTGGACAGTGTTCTCGAAGCTACCAGCATGAGTCTGACCAAACTGCGGGAGGCAGTGGAAGACAGGAGTGCCTGGCGTGCTCTGGTCCATGGGGTCACGAAGAGTCGGACATGACTAAACAACTAAACAACAACAAAAGATCCTACCTAGAACGAGCTGCATTTCCATGACCATTCATTCATTCATTCCATAAAATTTATAGTGTACAAAACTTCAAAGTGGTTTACAAAGAGATAAACTATAAAATCAGGGAAAATTGCAACACATCAAAAACCTACCAAACCTAAGAGACTCAAACAGATTAAAATTCACACCGGCATTTCTAAGCACCTAGGTAGGTTTGTCTGAACAAAAGTGTTTTTATAACAGGCACTGGAAAGAGTACAGTGAAGGCACCAATTGGATTTCAATAGGCAGGGAGACACTGCCACACTAAACAATTGAATACTTACAGATGCAGAATGGGTATTATGTGGCACCTGTAGTAGTGCCAATTCCACTAACTGAAGTGGTCAGGAGGGCACATGTTAGGCAATATCACCTCATCCTTTACATGCCCACCCAATCACTGCGCTCTCTGGGAGAAGGTCTCCTGCAGACAGCATCTGATCAGGCGGTCCATAAGAACAAAGCCTTCAGCCTGGTGGAACCCACCCTTTGGAACTTCCTCCTGTGATGTATAAGACAGTCGCCATCTCTATTGCCTATTTGGTGCCTATTAAAGTCTTTCTTTTTTCAACATTAAAGCATTAAATCCTCTATTGCATTTGAAATTTTTTTATATACTGAATTGCTTTATTAATCAAATATATTATAATTGTTTTATACATAAACATTTTCATTGATTTGATTGCTGATTCAATATATATTTGAGACATTTCATGGGAAGCGAGTTTTAAATTGAATAAAAAAACAAACGAGGAAATTAATATTACCTGAGCATTTAACATGTCTATAAGACCACCGGCACTTCATTCCAGGGACATATCTTCCTTGGCAGTAGTTGAGAGAAGCTTCTGTTCCCTCACAGGTGAAATTGTTTCCTGGCACAAAACTTGGTCCATATCCACCACCTACTGCTGCCAATGACAGGATGGGTCCACAGCCAAGTTGCCGGCACATGACTTGGACACTGTTCCAGTCCAAATCGTCTTTACATGCGGTGATCCAATCCCAGTTGTAGAGCAGCTCAAATCTCCCAGAGCAAATATTTGGACCACCCACCAATCTGATCTCTGTTGGGTGTGAAAAAAATACAGATTTATATCTCCACCTCTCACATTCCTCATCCTTCCTTTTTATTGCCCCTAGTTATCAGAGCTCATCGAAACAGAATCTATTGAATTGTTTTGTTGGAAGTCATGCCTGAAACTGGGCACTTCTTCAACAATGATAGATATTTGTCTGCTGATTCTCACTAGGGGGGCATCGTTTTCATTTTAAAAATATCCTTGTACTAAGCTGAATATTCATTGTGGTTCGAGGACCCGACCCCCGCAATGTGAAATAAATACACAAGGACATGTGATATAAGGTTAATGGGCAAGAAAAGGCCACAACTTTATTGATTACAGCAGTGAAAAGGTATTGGCTTAGGCATTGGATGTCTAAAACAAGGGGGTTTATTCACCAGTAGGTGGAGCCTGTTGATGCTAATCCAACTATAGGCTCTCCCCTGATGTCACCAGGGGTCATGCCATGGCCTCCCGCCAAGCAGGCATCGGACAGAGTACACGACCGCCAGATTCCTTTAACGGAATACCCAAAAATTGAAGGCATAGGCGATGGCCACACCCAGCCCTTCGACACACCACAACACATTATCCCAATGCCTAACCTACCCACCAATACCACAAAAAGTTGTGACGATTGCTACGAGGTAGGCGAAAAAACCAAAGCCTAATGCCAAATGGAAAAATTCCTACCAGGCCCCCTGGACAACCAGGGCGACCAACCTAAGGTCCATAGCAAGGCCAAAGAACAAAGACCCTGAGCTAAAAGGGAGTGGAGGGTGGGTGACTCGCGACGAGAGGACGGAGAAGAATGAGGCCGAGGAGAGGCTGGCGCCGCAGCAAAAGGCTGCTGTAAACGCCCCCTCGGAGGCACCTGGTTGGGTGCCTGCCGAGGGGCGTGGGCGCCAGCCAGGTGAGAGGAGGAGGCAGGGGGCTAATGCCCCCTGCTAGGGGCGGTGCTCGGGCTCCCGCCCACAACCACTCCCCTCTCTTCCAGGGAGGAGAGTCTTTTTGACACCCACCCACCCCAATTTCCAGAATTTTGATATAAACTGTGTGGCAATAACAATATTATATAATTAAAGCTTTTCTTTTTTGAATTGCCTGGAAGAAGATAAAAGATTCTCCAATTGCTGATTTTACAAAGAAGCAAGATCTCGTTAACCACTGGAGAGACTTCAAAAAACATTGGACGTGTTCCTAGAATGTTGAGATGTGACGCACTTTTTAATCTGGAAATCCGCCATGATGTAATAAAACTGAGCTGCAGGGTTATAAATAGTCATAGGGGGAGGCGGGCTCTTAATATGTCATTATATCTGTATTTCAAGTCTGATTTGGTAAATCTCCCCTGCAAAGGCTAATGTTTGATGAAACCAGTCTGGGAAAATTAATGAGCAAACGCCGAGATTTGATTTCATCGGAACTGGGAGAAGATGGTGTCTGCCAGCAGCGAAATGACTTTTGGATTGATTCGGCACAAACACCAGCGTGTGAGGAGATACTGCAACAATAGAGGAGAATCATACATATAAAATCCACACAGAAACACATCATTGCTTCTTTCAACTCGCTTGTGGAAACAACTCAGAGGCCATGAAAGAAGGAAGGTTAACAACAGGAAGATTTAAAGGAACTATTGGAAAGACTATCCAAGGCAGCAGAGATATGAGACGATCAGAGCCCCCCTGAACTTGAAGCATGGGAAGTCCCAACAAAAAATATATATAATTTAGGCATAATATCTGGACTATTTGATATGTATTTGTATAATTTAGAACATTTAATGTGATTTTATTGGATTGTTAAAATGGAAAACTTAATAAAAATGATTCTTCCCCCCCCCCCGAATTTTGGAGGGAAGGGCAGTAGTTTCCTCCTTGCTATGGCTATCAACATCATTTGGATATATTCCAAATTTCAGCACAGCAGAGGAATTTCTACCCCCTCCTTGTTTCTTCACTAGTTTTTACTATTGTAGAAGTAATATTGTGGTGAGACTCCCAGGGCACCCCTGAGTCCCTGGAAGGGCACTGCTTCCCCTTGTACACCCTCCCCCAGAAGAGTTGTGGGCAGAAATAGCCACTGAATATGTAAAATGTCCATAGTAATTAGATTTTCTGGATATTAAAATAGCTAGTTATTTCAAATTCAGACATTGCATTAAACTGGTATGGTGCCCTTTCAGCTCCCCACCCCCCACCCCAACCAAAAGCGAACAGAAAGGACAAAAATGATGCAGGAGGCAGAACAAAGCCTAGAAGAAACACTGCAGGAATGTTGTGAATTGTGTTCTAGATGAGGCCCAGAAAAGAGTATGGAACAAGAAGAGGAAGGCTCACCCTCTGCCCCTTCAGAGGATGATCAGAGCTCAAGAGAAGCCAACTTTTGGCATAACAGTCATGATTCAAATTTCAGCTAGTGTCTAAGCATTTATGTTACCTGAGCACACAACGGCAGCACCTTCTCCATGGCTGCAGTCTTTCGTTTGCCAGTTGTTTGGGGTGCACTCCTTGAACGTAGCTTCTGTTCCCTGACAATGGACACCAGTCAACCAGGCAGGACCATGTCCTCTTCCAAAATGAGCTCCTCTTGGGACTGACAAGGGAGGGCTACAGCCAATTTCTCGACAGACAACGTTGGCACTGTTCAGATCCCATCCCTCATCACACATGGTCAACCACTGCTGGTTGTGGAGCACCTCGACTCTTCCGGAGCAGGGACTTGTTCCATTCACCAATCTGATGGTTTGGAGGTCTGTAAAGATTAAAGGAAATTTTGTTTCTCCACCTTCCAGTTCCTCATTCTTCCTGGCTTCCATTTAGGCTGAAGCATAACAAGTGGGCAGGTGGCCATGCTGGAATTTTCAGCTAGTATTTTTGTCTGTTGCTCACATTTTTCCCACAATACACAAACATGAAATTTTAACCAGGGGTAAAAATTTCCAAACTCCTTATAAAGATTTATTACATATATATTACCTAGCCCCTATTAATTTCTATATTAAATAATTAAATATTTTCTAAATATTAAAGCTGATTCTAATCAATTCCTATAATGGTTATTCACAATTCCTGTTTTACATGCTGAACTACTGGATTGATTTTTATAAATTGATTGATTTTTATTCAGACTGTCCATTTTAGATTAGGCACATAGAAACGGCCAAAGAGAAAGTTCCACCCTCCCTTTCCTTTCCCCTTTTATCCCCCCTAGTGGGACAAAGAACAACTCCAGCCCAGATGAGAAGAGGTGCCACCCAAGAACCAAAGCCCAAAATGGAAATTTCAGAAATGTATTCTGAATTAAGGAAAGATATAAAAGATAATGCAAAGAATCTGGAGGAGAAATTGGAAAGGATGGAAAACAAGGTAGAACAGAATACAAAATCAGTGGTGGACCTAACTGGACAAATCAAAGAATTATCAACAAAAACTTTAGAACTAGGAAAACCCATGCAACATTTAAAAGTAAAGACACAAGGCCTGGAAGAAACAACTAAGAAAACAAACAGGGTAAAAGAGCTGAAAGACCTCATGAAAGGTCTAAGTAAGATGCGGTAGGATTAAGTATGATGCAGGAAGCTGTACGGGATTCAATTGCAGTGCTGGAAATGCAGCAGAAAGAATCAAATTTGAGAATTTGAGGGATCCCAGAAAGTGTGGAGGAGGATATATAGACGAGCCAAAATAATAAAAGAAATAGCAGGCTGGTAAGAAACTGAAGAAGAGGAAGTCAACTTTTCATTGGATAAAGCCTTCGTGATCAAATCAAGTTACGCAAAGGCTAAAAAAAAAAAACTACCAGGGGACTGTCTGGTGATATTCAATTCAAGAGAGATGAAAGATAGGATACTGCAGATGAACTATGAAAAAAGATTGTGTATTGACAATACAAACATCATATTCCGATCAGATTGCTAAAGAAGAGAAGTAACTATAAGTTCCTGACAGATGCGTTGAGAGAAAATTATATACCGTGCAGGTGGGAATTTCCGGAAGGGATCTCATTTTCATACAAAGGGGGAAAGCATAGATGTAAAGACAAGTCAGTTTTGGAGGGAATATAAAAAACAACTTGGAGTCAAAACAACTGAGGGAGAAACAGGCTTGGAAGATAGAGGAGATAAACAGGAAGAAGAGAAACAAAAAGACTCATCATATATATATATATATAGAGAGAGAGAGAGAGAGAGAGAGAGAGATTGGATTCAAAATGTTTGACATGGAATGTTAATGGACTGAATAATAAATTAAAAAGAAATAAAATAGAACACGTTTTAATAAAACAAAATTTGGATATAATTTGTCTTCAGGAAACACATGTTGCAAAAAAACACAGAAGAGTCTTAATAAACAAAAGATTAGGAAAATAATTTATAACATCACACACACACACACACACACACACAAAAAGGGGAGTGGTAATTTATGTAAATGAGAAATACGACCCGCAGCAAAATTTTAAAGATGAAGAGGGAAGAATTGTAGGAATATACACACCAAATGAAAGAAAATCGGAATACTACTACAAAATATTAGAGGAAAAACTGCTTGATTATATGGATCAGAAAATAATTCTGATGTGGGATACTAATGGGGTAGTCTCCCTGGATATGGATAGGACAATAAGGAAATCGGACTCAGAGGAAGGGAGACTACTCATTACCTTTTTCAATTTAGTAGAAAACCTTAACTTAATGGCTATATATAGATTTAAGCATAAGGAAGAATTGATGGATAAATGCTCCAGCTGTAGGCTCCTGTTTAGGAGGAATTAATGCCAGTTTTAGAGCTAGCATTTTCTACCTGAGTACCTGCCAAACATTCCTGCCATTCTCTCCCTCAATGATTTTCTGCCACCAGAAGAGTGAATCTATCCAGCTTTCATCTAGAAATACTTGCTTTGGGTCTTTGGCTCTACACAGGATACACTAAACAAAACTCTCCTACAACATTACCTGAACACCCCACACTTGCATCCTGGCTGTGATCACATCTGTGCTCTGCCAATGACTTTCTTGGGCATATGGACAGGGACTCTTCTTCTCCCGTACAGTTGACTCCCTCCAGCCAGATGGGACCCGATCCTTGGCCAAACAAGGCTCCACCAAATGCTTTGGAGGCATTTCCACAGCTCAGTTCTCTGCACACAACATGGGCGTCCTGTAAATCCCAGCCAGCATCACACACAGTCCCCCACTGCTGGTTGTGAAACACCTCAATTCGCCCAGAGCAGCGACTTGAGCCATTCACTAAGCGGACCTCTGATGGGGGAAAAGAGGGTTGTTGTTGTTGTTGTTGTTGTTGTTGTTGTTGTTTTTGAAAGGCACAGCTGTCATATAACCTTGTTTATAATTTGGGATCTAATGAATGAAATAGAGGGGTTGAGAATTAAGCCACCTACCCTGCCCCCCCCAACATTATCCTCCTATATAAACACCATCACCCTTTCCATGAATTATTTAATAGAATCATACCTTGGGTTTAAAACGCAGAACGCCCTCCCATCAGATGTCAAGGAAATATAAGATTGAGTCAAGTTGTTTTCCCCTCACATACTTCTGGCAAAGCAACAAGACCTGGTCCCTGACCTCAAACCTGAAATATGTGGCCTGGAATATAAAACCCCACAAGCAGGAACTCCAGAAGCAGTGCCTCCTGTTCTTCTTATATGTCAATTCAGTTACACACAAACCGTTTGGTTTAACCTTCTCTGCTGAGGGTTTTCTATAGTCACTCAAGCTCCAAGCTGCAGGTCTTGGGGACAGGAGGATGACTCCACTCCTCAGCTGCAGCCCAACCCAAAAACTGCCCTTAGTGGCACATTTAGCCCTGGTGGGGGCGGGGGGGGGACCTGCTATTACACCAAATGAGAGGCTTTTATTCAAGGCCTATTGTAGTCGGTGGGAGCCATTTTCAACACAGGAATCACAGTGCAGTTGTTGTTTTTTAGTCGTGTCCGACTCTTCGTGACCCCATGGACCAGAGCATGCCAGCACTCCTGTCTTCCACTGCCTCCTGCAGTTTGGTCAAACTCATGTTGGTAGCTCTGAGAACACTGTCCAACCATCTCGTCCTCTGTCGTCCCCTTCTCCTCGTGCCCTCAATCTCTCCCCTAATCTTTCAAACACAGCATTTAGTCTTGAGGAAAAACTATTCATTCCAATAGCAGGTTTCCCTCCAAGCAAAAACCTATGATATGGCCTGTATAAAGAAACTCTCCTTTGCAGTGCATATGGCCTGTGCGTCAGTTGTTCCCCACCACTGCATTAAAAAAACCTTTAAATTTCAAAGATCTACCCTTTGAAATTATAAGAGCTACAAGATTAGATTTTGCATCAGACATAAGCACGAAAGGAGAGAGGGATGTGGGGAAAGGGAAAGATGCATTGTGGACTGTATCTCTTCTCCCTTCTCATGACTACCAATACCAATATGCTGCCAACAAAAGAGACAGACTGATTTAACTTATACCCAATTTATATGTCCACAGTATGGCACCCTTTAATGCATTCACACCCATTACCTGAGCACACAACACCAACATCTTCCCAAGAGTCTTCAAAAATTACTTCATGGAACATGTCAATATTTTGACAGTATCTGAGAGCAGCTTCTGTCCCAAAACAGAATGTATCTTTCCACAAGAAGGGGCCATGTCCTCTTCCGAAGTGAGGTCCTTTCTTGGTTGACAAAGCAGATCCACAGCCAACTTCCCTGCACACTACTTGGGCATCATGCAGATTCCAGGAAACAGAACGCACTGTCCTCCACTGCTGGTTGTGGAGCACCTCAACCCTTCCAGAACAAAAGCTTGAGCCGTTCACCAATCTGGTCTCTGGTGGTTCTAGAATTTTTGAAAGGCACATCTGTTGTTTCTGTGTGATAATCACCCTCATATAACCAACAGGCTTAAATCTAATTAATGCACAAAAGGATTCATAAAGTCAGGGTGATTAGCCAGGAATTTTGCCTCCAGAAGGTGCCATTGATGCTCTCAGTCCACCAGCCATTTTATTGTCTGGGCTTCTCTCCTGCCCTTTCTCTCTTTCCCAGGCACCCTCCCCTGCAGCCCTGGGGGAACCCTTCACCCCCAAAGTCAAAACAGCAGGCTCACCCAACCCCAGGAGGGAATCACAGGTAAAACTGTCTCTACACATGTGCGAGTGATAGTGTGAAAGAGTTCACACTTGCTAGTTTTTACAGCTCTACTATTGTGTATTGTGTACACTCATTTAATGCAACATATGAACATCTGTAATATGGTTCAGTGACAGAAGATGTTTCCTTCAGGTGGGACACAAGGCAAAAGAAAGGAGGCAAAGGAAGATATCTAACATGTCTAAGGGTGATTCACTCTCATGAAGCCTCCATGTTGTCCAGGGGATTTCAATAAAGTGTGAAGCAACCTCGTGAAGGAAGGTCCCATGAACAAAAAAGCATCACATAAATTAAAGACCCAGAACATGCCCAAGGGTATGGGGTTCTTCACAGATTACCCTTAACACTTGTGCACACTATACAAGTACGACTGTGTGAAAGAGTATGCATGTATTCATCTTCTAAATATCCATATATTTAAATCTTGTATCTTGTACCAATTTCTTGGCGGAACTGGATATAAAGGTAAAGGTAAAGGGACCCCTGACCATTAGGTCCAGTCGTGGCTGACTCTGGGGTTGCGGCGCTCATCTCGCTTTATTGGCCGAGGGAGCTGGCGTACAGCTTCCGGGTCATGTGGCCAGCATGACTAAGCCGCTTCTGGCGAACCAGAGCAGTGCACAGAAACGCCGTTTACCTTCCCGTCGGAGCGGTACCTATTTATCTACTTGCACTTTGACGTGCTTTCGAACTGCTAGGTTGGCAGGAGCTGGGTCCGAACAACGGGAGCTCACCCCATCATGGGGATTTGAACCGCCAACCTTCTGATCGGCAAGTCCTAGGCTCTGTGGTTTAACCCACAGCGCCACCCACGTCCCAGAACTGGATATACTGCAATAATAATTTGAACTTGATAGTTGGGATTTTCTAAACTCCACCCAACAGAGGATTCACTGACTCCTAAGAGAGAACCTTACCTGAGCACTCCACACTTGCATCTTGGCTGTGGCTGCAGTTGTGCTCTCCCCAGGGACCTCTGGGGCAATCATAGAAGGATGTTTCTTCTCCTGTACAATTAACTCTCTCCAGCCAAATGGGACCAGATGCTTGGCCAAACCAAGCTTCACTTCGCACTCTTAAGGCATTTCCACAGCTCATTTCTCCACAAACAACGTTGGCATCCTGTAAATCCCAGCCAGCACCACAAACGGACCCCCACAGCTGGTTGTGAAACACCTCAATCCGTCCAGAGCAGTTACTCGAGCCATTTATGAGACGAAGCTCTGATGGAACAAAAAAGACTTATAGTAACACATCCAGGGAAGGAACCTACAGAAATGCCTGCATGTCTTGCTGCTAGTAGAGGTAAATTATCATATTAAGATTCATGCAGGAGGAGGGGAAGATCGCTTAGGGATTTTAATCAGTTATAATGAAAATAGAAACAGAAGCAGCAATTGCAGATATCTGTTGATTCATCCCATGTCCAGAATGGAGATAAATCCAGCAAATACAATCAATATTCTCTGTTGTTGCTTTCAGGCCCCAAAAGATGCAATTGGTGGCATTTGCTCCCCAATTCCATTGTATTTCCTTTGCACTAAAATGAATGAGGTGGGAAAATATAGTGGCAGCATAACTTACACGATGCGATATCTTTATTGTCACTGTCCCATGCAGAAAAAAATATTCTGAATCCAAGAAGCCAGAACAGCAAGAGGGATCTGGCTTCTGGGATAGCCTATTGCTGTTCTGGCTTCTGGGATAGCCATGCAAAGCCTCTTCAGGGCAGTGGGATGAAGGCTCTATAAGTCGCACTTTTCCCCTCCTAAAAAGTAAGGGGAAATGTGTGTGTGTAAGCGCGCGGAGTGTGTGTGCGGCTCTTGGGGGCTTTTCCCCAAGGAGGGAGAAGGGCAGCCCTTCTCGCTCCTCGGGGAAAAGCCCCCAAAAGCCGCACACATGCTCCATGTGGCTCTTTAAAGGGAGCACTGAGCAGAGCCTCCCGCCTGCATTCGCTCCATAAGACACACACACACACACACACACACACACACACGTTTCCCCTTACTTTTTAGGAGGGGAAAAGTGCGACTTATAGAGCGAAAAATACAGTACTTCTTCCCAAGACTTCTTATTCAAGAGTAATGCAGATAATGAACTTACTTGAGCATACAACCGCAGCAGCATTTAGATCACTGCAGTTCAGTGCCCCCCAAGACCTTGCTGGGCACTGACCGAGAGTTGATTCTGTCCCTGTGCATCGGACATCATTCAGCCAGATGGGGCCAGTGCCTCTTCCAAATTCTGCATTCCGTAGGGCTGATCTTGCACCTCCGCAGGCCAACTGCCGGCATACAACTCTGGCATCCTCCATGTCCCAGCCGTGACCACATACAGTGCCCCACTGGCCATGAAGGAGCACTTCAACCCTCCCACTGCAGCGACTTGAGCCTTCTGCCAGCCTGATTTCCACTTGGGATGAGTTTGCAGCATCTGAGTCTGAAGCTACACCTGGATCAAGCAAATGCCTGAGAGTGGGTGAGGAAGTGGGATTACAGAAATTCATCCTATGTATAACCATTCTGAAAGTAGCAACAGGATATAAAAAGCGGGTGAGAAAAAGGGGAGTGACCACTGTTGCTGGATCAGACCAACGTCCATGCTTTTTTAAAATCTCCAGCAGCATCCAATCAGTCAGTGCATGAAGCTGGGAGCCCATCCCATCCTCTTTAGTGGAATTTTTTAAAATATTGTTTTGTGAGCTGTTTAGAAGGCTTTTAGGCAGAAAAAATGACATAGAAATATATCCATAGCAAACTCAAAAATATAGCCTTTTGCTATATACACTACTCACAGCAGACCAATAGATAAAAACTATATATAAAAAAACAACCCACACCTTTCATCACTACATCACTTAGTATATAAGTAATCAGTTGGATAGCTGTAGTCTTGCCCCAGCAGGTTACAGAAACCCAAGAAATGTTTTCTGCAAGTGCTTCATTCAAGAATGGCAATTCATGGTGGTTCTTCCCTCTTAGATCTCTAGCTTCATTATTTGTCAGATCTCTCTTCAACCATATTCCACAAGAACTTTCCCCTTTGGGAGTTTAGCCTGCAGTCTTGCTGGCTCCCTGTTTCCCCTAAAATGCCATATAGGTGCCAACTCCAGGGGTGGGGGTGGGGTGGGAGGCTGGGCACCCACAAAGCCAGAGAGGGGCAGCTGTCTAGCCTCTGCAGCGACGCCTCCGAGACAAGTCTTTCAGCTCTGCCCTCCGCAGCCAGTCAGTGAGTCACCCTTTTCCAGGAAGGGGGTGGCCTCGGACGCGGAGGCATCTGAGCCCCTCCCCACGAAAAAGGGTACCTTGCTGATGGCAGAGAGGAGGAAGAGGATCCGCCAGAAGACACAGATGTGTGTCATCACACACATGATGCACAACCTTGCATCACTTTTTTTGAGGAGCAGCTCTCCAAAAATGCGATGAAACATTGCGAGTCTTGCATGTGACATTACACACACAACGTGCAGGCATGTTGCGGCGGTGGGCACCCATGATCCTGAGGGCAAGATGGCGGCCCTGCCATAAAGGACAATTCTGTGCCCTCAGTCTCTTCCCCCTCTATATGTCTCCAAGTCATGTGATTTTGTATGATTTTTGACAACAATTATGGTCTGTGTTGTGAGAATAGGAACAGGTCTGGCAAAGCACTGGCACTGGCTGCCTTCAGGGACTGGGAAAGTGCAGATCAAGCCTTAGTTTATGAAGTTACCTGAACACACAAGAACAGCATATTGACATGAGTTTAAGGTTTTTGAAAGCCTTCCTTGGCACTGATGGATGGCTGATTCCGTTCCTGCACAAATGCTGTCTCTTAGTGTAATAAAGTCAGTTCCTATTCTCCATCGTTCCTCCTTTGTAGCCAGGATTACATCTCCACAGTCTAGCTGTTGGCATATAGCACGGGCTTTCTCAATATTCATGCCATCGTCACAAACAATGTTCCATTGACCATTAAGGAAGATTTCAACCTTTCCACTGCAGTGACTTTGACCTTCCACCAGCCTGATTTCCACGGGGCCTAAACCTGCAATCTCTGTTGAATCCTTCAGACCTGGGTGAAGCAAATTCAGGATAGTGGGTAAGAGGAGTGGTAAGATGTTGAAAGTAGCATCAGGATAGAAAAAGTGGATAGCTTAAAAGGGCATAACTACTAGCTTGCTGGGTAAGATCAGCCAGATAAGACTACCCACAGCCTCTAGATGCCATTAGCTGCTTACAAGCCCTACATAGCAGTGGTGACCATCCTATATTCTTTGTCTTAAATGCCCAGTATCCTGCCTCTGACTGTGGAGGTTCCAATGAGCTATCCTGGCTGAAGTCTGTTGGTGGAGCCATTCCTCCATGCTAATGTACCTGCAGGACTGAGTGGGAGAAAAATAAGTCAAGCAGTTTGAAGGTCTTTCATATGCCAAAGAACCATATTTATCACTAGTGAAGCTTGGTAATTTCGGACCATGGACATACATCTGCCAACCCTTCTGCAATCAGTTGTGGATCACACAGTGTTTCTCTCCACTGACCCACCCCGCCCCTGCTATTCCATGCTCTACACCTGCTTCTACATTCCTGATATGCAAGAAGAACAAAACAAGCAAATGGCAGTTTTCCAACCCTGATTGGGTTGACAGACTTGTTTATTGAGCAGTGATGCTGATTTGTTTGAGGGAAAGCTGGATGACATCTCAAACTATCCAGTGCATTCTTCCATTATTCTCCTCATGGCAAAAAGTCTGGTCCTTTGGCGGGGGGTGGGGGTGGCACAACCTCTCCCACTCAGATTTAATTTCACAGCCTGAATTTGCCAGTATGTGGTTGAATCCAACCTGAAAAACCCAGGAACTGTATGGCGGAGGCTGAAGTTTACTTTTTCTGCCAATAAGCATGTTTATTTTGGAATAAGCACCATTTTGGAATCAGCATGTGTGAAAATATATTTTAAAGAAATAACAAAATAAGCATCTGTTACCTTGTTTCAAAATGATTGGAGGATTTCCTGACATATGTACACATACACATGGAATTTTTCTTTTGTTTTGACTTGTTATGGGTTTTTTTTTTAATCTTTTAAAGTATTCTATGGTTTCACTTTCCCTATTATGCTTTATTATGACTAATGTTGGGTTTTTCCTTTCGTTTTTCAGAATTGTAATCTGCTTTGAGATGCCTTCTTAGCCATGAAGAGCAGGCTGTAAATATTTGAAATAAATCCTGATAATGTGAAAACCAGCAAACATGTAGGATCAATTCATAGTTTATGAACTCACCTGAGCACACAACACCTGCATCCTGCTCATGCTTGCAGTCATGTTCTCCCCATGGCATTTTGGGGCATTGATAGAGATTTGATTCTGTCCCTGTGCATCTGACATCATCCAGCCATATAGGGCCAGTGCCTCTTCCAAATTTGGCAGCCTGTAGGGCTGATTTTACAGCACCGCAGCCCAACTGCCGGCATACAACTCTGGCATCCTCAAGGCCCCAGTAGTGACTGCATACTGTGCCCCACTGGCCATTATGCAGCAATTCAACTCTTCCCCTGCAGTGATTTGAACCATTCACCAGCCTGATTTCCACTCGACTTGAGTCTTCAGCATCTGAATCTAATGTCATGCCTGAGGAAAGCAAATTCCAGAGAGTGAGGTAGCACATGAGACAAGATGTAGTTCTCTTCTGCATGATCATTTTGAAAGCAGGACAGTGGATAAGATAAAGGGACAAGCCATAAGGCTAAAAATAGTCCTTCCTGTGAGGCAGGCTTTTTGCTTTGAGAATTCAGGCAGATTGAAGGGGAGACTTGGAAAAGTGGAAGAGAGGCTAGAGGAAAAGCAGTATTTTTTTTATATTTGAATTAAGGGACTTAAAAAATATGAATCAAAATAGAGATGCAATATGTACTTTTCCTTGTTTATTTGTTTGTTTTGTAACACAAGAAAATATTTAATGAAAACTAATTTTTTTAAAAAACCAACATCAACCCTGGGGCTATGTTTCTGATTGTTCTTGGGGTTAATTCCATATTGAAGTACTGCAGTTTCTCCAGATTTAATGCTCAGAAGTGTAGAAACAACAGTTATGACCAAAAGAGTGAATGGGAGTGAATGGCAGTTCTGAAGATTCGGAGTTCAGAATCTGAATTTGGATTGCCAAGCCTAGACTCCAACTGCATCAGTGGGCAGGGCTTGCACAGTGCTTGTATTTATTTACCACTCCAGAGAGCCAGCTGTCCCCTCATTCTCCTTTTACCTGTCGACAATACTTTCAAAAGAAAAAAAATCACCATCTAGAAAGTAGCTAGTAAATTAATCTTGTGAAGACTTGGTCACATCTGGGATTGACAATTTTATTACTGGTCTCTGATTTGGGGTTTTAAAAGCAATTGGTCATGTAGGCATTGTGAGGTAATTATGCTTCTTTCCAGCCCATGAAAAGCTTCACTTGCAAGATCTTGCATATCAGGCTGGCCTAAAAGGCACAGGATTCATTCAGGATACATTTATCTGGTCAATTAGCAACTCTAATGTACATGATAATGTACATGACAATGTAAAAAGCAAACAAAACAGGGCTTGACATAAGTGATCAACTTACCTGAGCAGACAACACCAGCATCTTCCTCATGTGTGCAGTCATGCTCTCCCCAGTTGCTTGCAGGACACTGACTGAGTTCTGATTCTGTCCCTGAGCATCGGACCTCATCCAGCCAGATGGGTCCAGTTCCCCCCCAAAATTGTGCTTCAAGTGTGGCTGATATTGCAGGTCCACATCTTAGCTGTCGGCACACAACTGTGGCTTCCTCGATGCCCCAATCGTCATCACAAATGGTGCCCCATTGGCCATTATGGAGAAATTCAACCATTCCATTGCAATGACTTGTACCGTTCACCAGCCTAATCTCCAGCTGTCCCGCTTCTGCAATAGATGAGTCCAGCACCACACCTGGGCAAACCCAAGTTAGAGAACCAGTTAGCAAGTCAGATGAGATTTCTTCCCACCTATTAAAATTTTTAAAATAGCATCAGGAAAGAAAAAGTGGAGGATAAAAGGCTGTGACTTTTGGCTATTTGCAGATTAGTTGCGCTGCAGAGAGCTTGCTGGGGAGACCACACATTACAAGGAACTCAAAATAACTTTAGCTAGGTTTTAATAACAAAAACAAAAACTCCTTTTACATTATAATATATCAATAAGCATGACCCAACCACCGACCCAACCACCAGGGTACTGAGAGAGCTAGGTGCTGCTCTTTATATACTATACCCAATTGCTGACACAGCTTAATTAACACAACTTAACAGCACCTGCTATACTGCTTCACAGCTGGAAGACTAGGTCACGTTATTTGCTCTGGCCCTTAAAGACATACACATCTTGTGGAACGATAATGAACCTTCAAATTTAAAGAAACCATTCAACAGTGACAACTGTCTTGCTGGCCGGAAAATATCTTTCTGTTTGTTTGTTTGTTTGGGGGGAAATTGGTAAAACAAACAAAAGAGGAAGAAGAAACAACAACAAGAAAAAAATATTCTTCTGGTCCTGCATGTAGGCTCTTTGCAATGATAATCCAGACTTTTCCCCTCCACTGGTTGCACACACTCAACCTGGGTATAAAACATATTCCAGTGAGACTTAATTCGATTCCTTAAGTGCAATTTTTAAAAACTGTGGGAGACAACCAGCAAGGATATTATGAGATGGAAACTGGAAGATTTCACTCTAATGGATAGACTAGCTCTAACCAAAATGGTTATCCTCACTAGATTGAACTATTCAGTGCCCCCCGCCTAGAAAAATAGGTGCTGGTACTCACCATGAAGTTGTTATACTACGCGCCATACTTTTTAACAACAATAATAACAGAGGTGCCAGTACTGCGTACCCTTGGGTACCCCCTTTTTAAAAAGAGCACTGGACTCATTTATTCCAAACGCTTCCAGTCTGGATTTTCCCTAAATGATTAGCCATTTGATGGAGAAATCTTCATTCTTTTAATTTTCCTCAATAGAGACTGAGTACTGGGCAGAAATTTCTTCATTTTTCAGCTCAAGAGGGAGGGTGCTATTTTTGGAGCTATATCTCCAATTTAGGTGGCAGATTCTCAGGAACAAGTGCTGGGTTCACGCAGAACTGGAAAGATAGATAGCATTCCCTTTGATGGCTCCAAGTGTTTTATCTTTTTTAACGCTGGTGTGTGTGTGTGTATTTTTATTGGACAGGGCCTCTGTGGAAACTACAATAAACTTTTCCTCCCTAGCTACAGTTTCTAGGAAAATCACTCACCCTCACCTCAACTAGGCTTGAGGAAACTGTGTCATCTATACTGTCAATGTTCCTGTGGCTTCAGCTGGTATCTTTGAGATTGCCATACTCAGGCCAGCACCACCCATTGATTCAACTCAACTCTCCTGTATCATCCTTTCTCTAAGGGGTACAGCCCATAGCTGGGTTACTGCTAGGTGCTTTAAATCATCTATATTTTCACTGCCACTACATATACAAAGCTCCTGAATGATGACTACCTCTAGCACGGCTGGTCAATTATTATTACTATGATTATAATTATTAATTAAAATTCTATACCACCCTTCATCTGAAGATCACAGGGTGGTCTACAATATAAAAGCAAAGTATAAGGGTAAAGGTAAAGGGGACCCCTGACCATCAGGTCCAGTCGTGGCCAACTCTGGGGTTGCGGCGCTCATCTTGCTTTATTGGCCGAGGGAGCCGGCGTACAGCTTCCGGGTCATGTGGCCAGCATGACTAAGCCACTTCTGGTGAACCAGAGCAGCACACGGAAATGCCATTTACCTTCCCACTAGAGTGGTACCTATTTATCTACTTGCACTTTGACGTGCTTTCGAACTGCTAGGTTGGCAGGAGCAGGGACCGAGCAACGGGAGCTCACCCCGTTGCGTGGATTCGAACTGCCGACCTTCTGATTGGCAAGTCCTAGGCTCTGTGGTTTAACCCACAACGCCACTCACATCCCCCAAGTTCCAGTGTACACACAGGTAATTTGGGGATCCTGAGGCTGGATGCTGTATACAAGGCAATGGGGAGAAAAATCTCAGTAGAGTTAAGGTGAATCAGATGGAAAAACTCCATATATGTTAATGGTGGATTATTTGAGATGATGTGTGAACTGTTATCTCTGCTACTTCACAAACTAACACCGGTTTGGAAAAAGGCTAGTTGCAGCTCCAGCATCTCACTCACAACCTTTTCTCAATTGCAGATCCAGACTTAGCCAGACCCACCATCTCCCTGAGTCCTAGAGGGCTACTTCCTCTGGGGGGAAACCCACAGCGCCACCTGCGTCCCAAAGCAAAAAATACATACCATAATAACAGACAAAAATAATACCACCCCCCCAGTATTCAACTCTCTTTCAAAACTCCTATCCAATCGCCACTCACTTCCAACATCACAATCACACAATTTCCCCCTGATTGACCTAATATACTTGCCTACACATTTTGCACAATACATACCATCACATACAAGTTTACCATAATCAGTAGTTCTACAATATCATGAACACAGACAGCAGAACCTCATACATGGCAAAGGGGGAGCTGTTGGGGATTGAAGAGTCACTGGGGACCAAGGCATGTCTGAAAGCAGCCTAAAGCCCACAGAGGGCACCCAGCCCATCATTTGAGAAACAGTGGTCTATATTTTACTTGGGTTTGCCTACATAAGTCATGGAATTGATGTCAAATATGAACAATGTCACCCTCCTGGTTCAGTTCCTGACCCACATAAAGAGTCTCCCCACTTTCTCTTCCTTGCTTCTGCTCCTGTGTATCAACTCTTTAGAACGTGCTCGTTCTCAGCACTGGCTGGAAAACTGGAAGAAATCTTCAGGGTTGGAAATCTCAGGAGAACAAAGAATGCAAAAGCTGGAGAATACCCAACACTCATTTTGGGTGCTTTATGGTGTAAACTGCAAATATACAAAGACTAAGCAGAGCTAAAACTAGATAAGATTTGCCTCTCTCCACAAGACTGTAGAGCCTAGGAGAGACAGTCTGTGGAAAGAGGTCCTAAAATGCTCCATTTGCTTTCAACCTCCACTGGAACAGATTGCTCACTTGGAGCTGCCTGGAGTCCTGCATCCTGACCCGCTTCATTACTTTCCCCTAAGTATGGTAGCAGTGGCGCAAAATTTGGAAGGAAGTAAAGCACTCAGAACTGGGTTTGGAAGCAAGCATTTGCTCTGGCAGGAACCGATGGCGATGCCAAACCTATAAAGGTTGACCAGAGGGAAAGCTCAGTGGAGCTGCAGAACCAGTGATGTCAGAAAAACAGCCTTGGGAGAAAGGGAGGCCACGGCACTGAGCTCCTATTTTCCCCCATCCCACTACCCTCCCAAATTAATATTCTCTTGTCTGCTGATACTCAACTCCAAGCACTCGCCTCTGACCAGGCAGCCACCATTCTGGAAAGGAGAGGATTCTATTAATAAAAAGGTATCTGAACAGCAGGAACCAAAGCTGGGTCTCTGGTCCTCCCACCCAGCCACTGCACTGATCATCAGTGATACTAACCCAGGAAGAAAATGCTGAAAGAGAACTTCATGCTGAAAGACCATTCAGCCCAGTAGCCAGGGATGTCCTTTTCTAATGTCCCATGAAGGAAGATCTCCTCTGGAGGCTGCAGCAACTGAACTACCACACTCGCCTGCAGCGTAGCTGTTTCCTTTCATATATCATTTCCTTTGATCTGAGGGGATGGGTTACCTTTTTAACCAACCAGCACCACATGACAAAAACTTCTCTTATCAGTGTGCAGTCACTGCATGCAAGAAGTAGGAGCCCACAAAGGGACATATTTTTCATGTTGTGAGTGTTTAGCCTGGACTATGTGAACATGCGTTTTCTGATGCCTCCTCAAGCAGATTATTGGATCCTTAGGAGCACTGCTATGGTGAATGAGACTGAATCTCACTTTAATATTTTGAAGCTGGGGTGGGGGGTGGAGTGGGGGGTGGATCTGGATTCTGTCTCATGTTAAACCTCCAAGGTATACTTTTCCAGGATGTGCAGAATCACCTAGTTACCACACCAAGTTACTTAAGTGACTTAGTGTATCCAAATATATATATATATATCTATAAATTTAAATTGTCCAGTAGCACCTTAGAGACCAATTAAGTTTGTTCTTGGTATAAGCTTTCGTGTGCATGCACACTTCTTCAGATATATATATTTCGACTGCATCAGACCAACACGGCTACTTACCTGAATCTTAGTGTATCCAGTCACAGAACAAAGCAGCTGATGAGTTTGTGAGCTCCTGGAACTTTGAAGAAGATATCATCCTTCCAGTAGCCTGGTTCAAAGAACATGCCAAGCCCAAACTTGACTTAGCCGGTAAAGGTAAAGGAACCCTGGATTAAGTCCAGTCAAAGGTGAACTTTGGGGTTCCGGAACTCATCTCACTTTCAGGCCAAGGGAGACGGTGTTTGTCCACAGAGAGCTTTCCGGGTCATGTGGCCAGAATGACTAAACCACTTTTGGCACAACGGGACACAGTGACGGAAACCAGAGTGCACGGAAACACCATTTACCTACCTGCCACAGCAGTACCCATTTATCTACTTAGAATAGAATCATAGAATCATAGAGTGGGAATAGACCACAAGGGCCATCGAGTCCAACCCCCTGCCAAGCAGGAAACACCATCAGAGCACTCCCGACATATGATTGTCAAGCCTCCGCTTAAAGACCTCCAAAGAAGGAGACTCCACCACACTCCTTTGCAGCAAATTCCACTGTCGAACAGCTCTTACTGTCAGGAAGTTCTTCCTAATGTTTAGGTGGAATCTTCTTTCTTGTAGTTTGGATCCATTGCTCCGTGTCCGCTTCTCTGGAGCAGCAGAAAACAACCTTTCTCCCTCCTCTATATGACATCCTTTTATATATTTGAACATGGCTATCATATCACCCCTTAACCTCCTCTTCTCCAGGCTAAACATGCCCAGCTCCCTTAGCCGTTCCTCATAAGGCATCGTTTCCAGACCTTTGACCATTTTGGTTGCCCTCCTCTGGACACGTTCCAGTTTGTCAGTGTCCTTCTTGAACTGTGGTGCCCAGAACTGGACACAGTACTCCAGGTGAGGTCTGACCAGAGCAGAATACAGTGGCACTATTACTTCCCTTGATCTAGATGCTATACTCCTATTGATGCAGCCCAGAATTGCATTGGCTCTTTTAGCTGCCGCGTCACACTGTTGGCTCATGTCAAGTTTGTGGTCAACCAAGACTCCTAGATCCTTATCACATGTACTGCTCTCAAGGCAGGTGTCCCCCATCTTGTATTTGTGCCTCTCATTTTTTTTGCCCAAGTGCAATACTTTACATTTCTCCCTGTTAAAGTTCATCTTGTTTGTTTTGGCCCAGTTCTCTAATCTGTCAAGGTCATTTTGAAGTGTGATCCTGTCCTCTGGGGTGTTAGCCACCCCTCCCAGTTTGGTGTCATCTGCAAATTTGATCAGGATGCCCTTGAGTCCATCATCCAAGTCGTTGATAAAGATGTTGAATAAGACCGGGCCCAAGACAGAACCCTGTGGCACCCCACTAGTCACTCTTCTCCAGGATGAAGAGGAACCATTGATGAGCACCCTTTGGGTTCGGTCAGTAAGCCAGTTACAAATCCACTGAGTGGTAGCATAGTCAAGACCGCATTTTACCAGCTTCTTTACAAGAATATCATGGGGCACCTTGTCAAATGCCTTGCTGAAATCAAGGTAGGCTACATCCACTGCGTTCCCTTCATCTACCAGGCTTGTAATTCTGTCAAAAACGAGATCAGGTTAGTCTGACATGACTTATTTTTCAGAAATCCATGCTGACTATTGGTGATCACAGCATTCCTTTCTAGGTGCTCACAGACTGTTTGCTTAATGATCTGCTCCAGAATCTTCCCTGGTATTGATGTCAGACTGACTGGGCGATAATTATTTGGGTCCTCTCTTTCCCCTTTTTGAAAATAGGGACAACATTTGCCCTCCTCCAGTCTGCCGGGACTTCGCCTGTTCTCCAGGAATTCTCAAAGATGACTGCCAGTGGTTCTGAGATCACATCTGCCAGTTCTTTTAATACTCTTGGATGCAGTTCATCTGGCCCTGGAGACTTGAATACATCTAAACTAGCCAAGTATTCTTGTACTATCTCCTTAGTTATTCTGGGCTGTGTTTCCTCTGCTGAATCATTTGCTCCAAATTCTTCAGGTCGGGCATTGTTTTCTTTATCGGAGAAGACTGAGGCAAAGAAGGCATTGAGGAGTTCAGCCCTTTCTGTGTCCCCTGTTTGCATTTCACCATCTTCTCCTCTGAGTGACCCCACTGTTTCTTTGTTCTTCCTTTTGCTACGAACATACCCATAAAAGCCTTTTTGTTGCTTTTAACCTCTCTAGCAAGCCTGAGTTCATTCTGTGCTTTAGCTTTTCTGACTTTGTGTCTACATGTGCTGGCTATTTGTTTGAATTCCTCTTTGGTGGTTTCCCCCCTTTTCCATTTTTTGTACACATCCTTTTTAAATCTTAACTCAGTTAAAAGTTCTTTAGATAGCCACCCTGGCTTCTTTAGGCACCTTCCATGTTTCCGTCTCATTGGTGTTGCCTGAAGTTGTGCTTTTACTATCTCCCTCTTAACAAACTCCCAGCCATCATGAACTCCCTTTCCTTTTAGTATTACTGTCCATGGGATCTCACCCAGCACTTTCCTAAGTTTTATGAAGTCAGCTTTCTTAAAGTCAAGAAATTGAGTCCTAGTATGCTTGGCTGCTCCTTTCCGCTGTATAGTAAACTTCAGAAGAGCATGATCACTCGCGCCTAATGATCCTTCCACTTCTACCCCACTAACCAGGTCATCAACATTGGTTAGGACCAGATCTAAAATGGCTGTTCCTCTTGTTGCTTCTCCCACTTTCTGGACAATGAAGTTGTCTGCAAGGCCAGTGAGGAATCTGTTTGACCTTATGCTCTTGGCTGAGTTTGACATCCAACAAATATCCAGGTAATTGAAGTCCCCCATTACTACTATCTCCCTTCCTTTTGCATGCTTGGCCATCTGTTCCAGGAAGGCATCATCTATGTCCTCCGTTTGGCTTGGGGATCTATAGTAAACTCCCACAATGAGGTCTCTGTTATTCTTCTCTCCTATTTGACCCAATGCTCACTTGGCTTTGAGGTTCTAAATCTTGGATCTCTTCACAGGTATACACATCCCTGACATATAACGCCACTCCTCCTCCTT